CCAAAATGTGCCTGTAAAGTTTCAGCTCAAAACATCCATCAGATGTTTTATTATACTTTTTATAAGATTCTGTTTTATACATTTTTGCACTGGGTGGCGGTTTTGCTGTTCTGCGCCTTTAAGGCTAGTCCTCCCTGCCCCACCGTTTCTACATGCCTTTCTGCATGCCTTAACCTCCTCCCACAGCAGTCAGACAACAAACAGACATAAAGGAAGCAGATCTCACGTAGCGTTTGTAAGTAATACTAAAGTAAGGACTTTACCCATGATTATTTGATGCATTAGCTGTGTTAAGTTACAACGTCAATGTTGTTACAAAGTTCACGCGCACACACAAAGACACACATACCCAGCACGGACACGATACGCACATACATACAGACAGCGCGTTTAGCTTTGCACTCTTTTTGCACGCATATGTGACAGGATACAGGCTAATCTCTATTGCTGTATGTGTATCTGTTATGTTAATGTACAAAATAAACCTGATTTAAATTCCACAAAGCGGGACTGAAGCATCTTCTTTCATAATTGTTTTGACACGCGGCTGTGCTGATGAAGGAATTCTGAAGTAAACCGCTATAATTCATTACACACGTGCACTGTTTTAAAACATTTTAAATTTGTAAAACTCACTCTTGATCACATTTCATGACGATTGATGATCCTCGAAAACTGAACAGATCTTTTATTCCCGGTTGAATTGCCATCGTCTTCTCTTGTTGATCTGATCGTGACTACCGGGATATGTTACGCAGCTGTCAATCAATTCGGTGGACTGGGGGACCGCACTACTATGTCAAGTTGTGGTCAGTCTGAAAACCGCTCCAATTGGTCCATCGTTTTTATGTTGTTAAATTGAAAAAAAAGGACTCGGTGAGTTTATTTCACCCCAATATGACCGCCTATACACTATACCTACACATATTTCTGTCCAAACAGCTTGAAAAGTCGATTTTTCACCATAGGTGCCCTTTAATGCGAATGAACTGGTTCTCACGTGTGTGACAGGATACACGTTAATATTTACTGTTCTGAGCACATCCTGTATTGTGGACATGATTATACACATTACTACAAAGACATGTTAATACGCATCTGTCAATCTATTCGGTGGCCAGGGAAACCGCACTCCTACAGTACGTCACGTTGCAGTCGGTCTCAAGACTGGAGGAATTTGGATCCTATTTTAACATCAGGAAATTAAAAAAAAGAGAGACTTTTTGTCTTTATATCACTCCAATAGGACTGTGGACACACTACACCAACACACAGTTCAGTCCAAATAGCTAAAACATGATGATTTTTATCATAGGTGCCTTTTAAAGGTTTCTGATTAATTTTGTTTTGGAGATCTGCTACAATATGTTTATATACATCGGATGTTACATAACACTATTGAACAAACACTTCCTCATGAAATATTTCACAACACCACCTCATTACTCAAAATGTCTGAAATGGTTCACTTAAAAAGTACATCTTAATTGCATATTGATTCTTAAATCCTAGAAATCAACATTTACAGTGAGTCTGTGCTTTTCAGTTGATGAATGAACACACATCTGTAGTGTGCCTCAAGTCTAGTTAATCACAATGTTCTAATAATGATATGAAACAATGTCTCACCTTCAAATTGTTAATTTTATAATCAATTTTAAACTTTGACACAGGCAAGCTTGTGATTTCTTCCACTGTGGGTACAAAGAGAATTTTAGAAGGTATGTTGAAAGATACTGTACATCTACAGGGCTGATAGTGGAAAAAATTCCTGAGCCTGAACTTTTTTTCCTTGCCCCTGAGGTGAGTAGGGGTGGGGGTACTATGTATGCAACGCACTTTTAACACATAACTTGTGGGCCCCTGGGCCCAAATATATTAACAGCCGATGTGTAACCCTGATCATCATTATTGTCAAGTGGCTCTTTTTAGACACATGCCAGTAATGTCAGTGACACATGCCAGTGTCAGTGATCTTGTGACATGTGCCAGGTGTCAGTATAAGCACGTTATAAGCACATTAATCTTATAAGTCTCTTTGCTTTAATATTTAGAAATCATTAGGCAAATGACACCTGTTATCTTACATGCATATATGTTATGAGTTTTCAACATGCATTTTATTATAACTTTTTAAAGGATATTATTTAAAATACCTTTAAATAAAAATAAGTTAAATAATAAAATAAATGAATGAATTAAAAACATAGAGAAGTCCATATTGTAGGGAACAAAGGAACTGCCAGGATGCAATAATATACAGTACAACAGATAAGTGTAACCCCTCCCATACATAAGCATGCCACAATAAATTTGACTGACATGTACTGTCAAATGACTATATTACGTACGGAAGTATGACTACGAATACATAAAATAAATGCGTTTAAATTAAAACATTGTGGAGTAGCTCAGCAAATAAACTAACTTGCGACGCGATAAATTAGGTTAAAAGTCGCGTAATGATTAAATATGGTTTTGCTCGTGTTAATTAATGTCATAAGCTTCGCCGGGTGTCGATGTCACTGCAGTGACATGCAGCGCGACACTCTTGAGTGACACAGGTCACTACACATGCCACTAGCGAGTGACACATGACATTGGAAAACCGGACGTTAGGCTTGCCATGATAGACGGTGTTGACGGTGATACCGGTGTTAAGACGCAACACCGGTGACATCACTTTTTCACCGTGACACCGTCCCCACATTTTTTTTTTTTTTAAGTATTGTTTTTTTTTAAATTATTTAAATATTTATTTGAATTAAATGGGAAACATAATTCTAAATAATTTACCTAAGATGAGAGCATGCACTATAATTATCATCTGATCATAGCTACAATGCGTCATATTTCATTTATCACATCAAGAGAACAAGAGGAGTCGAATTTACAGAAAGAGAATGGCGGACGGATAAGTGTCAAAACGCAATGCAAAAGCGCCTGTTTGGCTATATTTTGCAAAAAGAGAACCTGAAGACGTAGGTAAATGAGGCAATCTGCAAACTTTGCCTGACAATGGTGGCAGCAGTTGGAGGAAACACAACTAGTTTATACACTCATTTTCAACACTTGATGTTCAACTATGTGTGGGTCCCGGGTAGATAAGATCAATAGCCATAAATGCGCAACGCATACTGATTTTTAAAATCACGCGACCATCATCTCACAGTTTAATAATAAATTATCTTTTTTTGCAATTGATTATTATGCGTTTAATGTAAAAAAAAAAAATCAATGAAGAATAGGCCGACAAAAGAGTGGGCTAACCAGTGTGTGCGCGCGTCTTTTATCACTGAGGACGCTCTCTTCAAAAAACGAAAGTTGCTTCGTCTGTCTGGCAATATTTCGGCTTTTAATAAATGAAAAGTTAATTTAGATGAGTCAATATTAAAAATTGCAATAAAGTAACTGAGACGTGCGGCCACACATCAAATCTGAGGTCTGATCTCATCTCTCTCTCTCTCGCTGTCATCCAGACACAGACGCCTAACGAGTCAAGTCGCAAAACTGAGGCTGGTACCAGCTGACAGGTAGAATTGCTGAACCCTTGCGAAATCTGTCAGAATACAGCAATGAAATAAACATGCATAAATGTCTTTGAGCCAGAAAGTCTATCTAGGATATCTCAAAACGCAATTGGAGCCGTGGAGGAGTTGTGTATTTCTGTCGATTTGTTTTATTTCGTTAAGTAATAATTTAAAGCTTTCTATAAATATATTTATTATGTCTGTGAGGCATATACATTTTGCTTCATTTTGTTAAGCGCTCCTGTTCAAAAACCAGACGACAGAAAGCGCATAATTTTGGTTTTCTTTATTTTATAAAAACGCTGTAACGTTTTTTGATGTATTACTCGTACTTTGTGAGCAAAAATGACGGATAACTTTAAATTGCTCCCACTGAAAAAATGCAAGTGATTGCTCTGGCGCCTCGATGTCCTGCAAGCTTTTTATAAGCAAACTATGCGCCTAATAGCACACATTCTTTAACGTTTAAGCTACCATTGTTTTATACTTGAACTGTTTTATATCTTTTATTTTAGGCAAGTCGTGATGATCTGAGAAGGCAAACTGATCAAACAGACAATGATGGTCTTCCGCTGGGCGCTGTTCGTTAAAAAAAAATATTTTTAACGAATAAAGAATGCTCCAAACGTTTTTCTAAATAAGCTGAATAAAAAACGAAACTAAATATAAACACTTTGCCATTAGGCTACATACAAAACTGAACTATTTCATAGCTGAAACACTAAGTTGTTTAAGGAGAAGGGGGAATATATATTTTTGTCCCGTCTATTGCTTCACTGTTATTTCGAGAATAAACCCAGCGTAAATATGCAGATGTCATTCCCAAAACATATCAGCGTATATGTGCCGAAAACGAAAGTTTCATACAAATTCTGAATGGATTATAGCCTGGAAAGTGCAAAGCACGCTCCTCTTATTATCACTAAAAAGCGTCACTAATCTTAGTTCATAGAGATCTCACAAAGATCCGTTTTATTTATAAAGCTCTCTAATTTACACAATTAATATTTTATTTACATGGCGTCTACACTCAAAAGATGATTCACGAGCACACAAAATGGCACTTAATAAAAACCAATCCGGCGCTTTCAGCAGTGAGTGAATTCTGTGAATCTAGAGAAATGACAGATCAATATCCGTGAACCTGATTTTTTTTTCCCCGCAGCCACAGTACGCCGGAAATCCGGCGTGGTGCCGGAAGGCTATCACCCCTGCATCTAAGTGAAATCTGTGTCATATCTATATGTGCAGTGATACCAATCAATGATCCCCTGCATTGAAAACTGAGGCTGCACTTTATTCAGTTGCTTTCCAAATATAGTCGGTGTGCTATCAGATTGTGCATAACATAAGGCATAATTTAGCACCATCGTGGCTAATTTTAAGTGGCCTGTTTAACAGCATGCACTCAAGCAGGTGGGCATCTGACTGTGTGTAACAGTGTGCATCTGCAGGAATGTGGCAGCTTACCAGTTTAAAGCTGAAGAAGAGCACTAGCAGTGTGGCACAGGTGACGATGCTCAGTCCCAGCAACAGAACAAATTGGCGGTATTGGCTAATGCCAGAAAATTTCCTGTACAGGGCTTCCTGTTTCAACTCCTGCTTGTCTAGCGAGTACTTCCCTTTAGCTGGCATTCTGACCAGTGTCAGTGCGGCAGCTGAATAACACAGGCCAATCAGAGCAAAGCGGTCGGATGCCACAGAAATACACCTCCTCCCATCCAGCGGAGTGCGGCTATGCTGAAATCCCCATCGAGAGTGTGTGGGAGGTCATTCCAGTGTTGAGCACTTCAGCTCTCCCCTCCACAGCACCATACTGAGCATGTCCTTTAAGATCCGTATTCCTTTTGCACTTTTCCCCTTTCACTGGAGCCTGCTGGTTCTGATGGGTAATGGCTTCAAAGTGCCGTGGTGTTGGATGAATCCAAAAATCCCTGTCGGAGACAGAAAACAGAGAGAGTTTCTTTTTATTTTCAATAATTACACCAACACTACACCTCCTAAAATCCTTCTGACCCACTAAAGAGCAAAGAAACAAGCTTTTCATTTTGAAACTAACTTAAAAGCTGTTGAACCGTGCATCAAAGTTTAGAAAGCACATTTTCAGGTCAGCTCCTTAGATCTCTATAAACACTGCACTGTTCAGTCATTCCCACACGGGCGGCTCGCTCTGTGCCTGTAAAAAAGGCTTTTGGGTAGAGTTCAACATTTGTGTGGATTCAGTGCTCTCTTCATTACTGCCACTAATGCTGATGGCTGCTGTCCATGACATCCTTGGCCAAACCTCAGTTTTACTCACAGACACGAACGGAGTCCTAAAAGAAAAATAAATGAGTGAATACTGGACAGAGATTATGCAAACTCTGCCCTCAGTGCAGGCAACTGTTAAAGGAAAAGTTCATCCAAAAAAATGAAAATTCTGTCGTCATTTACTCTCCACTTGTTTTAAACATATTTAAGCTTCTTTCTTCTATTAAACACAAAATAATATATATTGAATAATGTCAGAAAAAGCAGCCACTGACTTCCATAGTAGTGTTTTTTTCATCCTATTATGGTGCTTTTTTACAGCATTCTTCAGAATATCTTGTTTTGTGTTAAACAGAAGAAAAAAATCATTAAGGTTTAGGATTTTTTTTTCCCTTTGATTGTCTTATTGTAAAGCCCACTTTGATGCATGAGATGTTAAAGTAAGAAAAGCCTCTTAAGACTAAACATTTATAACCATTAACAGGTTTTTGGTTAGCATGATCTTTAAAACAGACTTGTCTGAATATGTGAGGCCTTTTTTTCTTCTTCTAAAAAGTGATGTCACCTATGCTTTTCAAGGCAACTATTGGATATTGTGATTAACATCAAACAAGTAAAATACACGCAATGTGTGACCATTTAAGTCAGCTGTTATTTTTTTACAATATATTTTAATATTTTATAACAAAAAAAACTTAAGCAAGAATACATTTAGTTAATGTGACATTTAAAAAGTGACAACACTGTGACTAGGAATTTCTATTTTACATAAATTCTGCTTATCATCAAAATATCTATATACAGTTGACGTCAGATGTATTAGCCCTCTTTGAATTTTATTTTATTTTTTAAATATTTCCTAAATTATGTTTAACAGCGCAATTTTCACAGTATGTGGGAAAATATTGTTTTCTTCTGGAGAAAGTCTTATTTGATTTATTTTGGCTTGAATAAAAGCAAGGTAAAAATTATTAGCCCCTTTAAGCTATATATTTTTTTCAATAGTCTACTGAACAAACTATCATTATACAATAACTTGCCTAATTACCCTGACCTGCCTAGTTAACTTAATGAACCTAGTTAAGCCTTTAAATGCCACTTTAAGCTGTATAGAAGTGTTTTGAAAAATATCTAGTCAAATATTATTTACTGTCATTATGGCAAAGATAAAATAAATCAGTTATTAGAAATGGGTTATTAAAACTATTATGATTAGAAATGGGCGAGGCAGTGGTGCAGTAGGTAGTGCTGACACCTAACAGCAAGAAGGTCGCTGGGCCGCTGGTTCGAACCTCGGCTCTGTTAGTGTTTCTGTGTGGAGTTTGCATGTTCTCCCTGCCTTCGCGTGGGTTTCCTCCGGGTGCTCCAGTTTCCCCCACAGTCCAAAGACATGTGGTACAGGTGAATTGGGTAGGCTAAATTGTCCGTACTGTATGAGTGTGTGTGAATGGGTGTGTGGATGTTTCCCAGAGATGGGTTGCGGCTGGAAGGGCATCCGCTCCGTAAAAACTTGCTGGATAAGTCGGCGGTTCATTCCGCTGTGGTGACCCCAAATTAATAAAGGGACTAAGCCGACAAGAAAATGAATGAATGAATGAATGAATAGAAATGTGTTGAAAAACGTTTCTCTCCATTTAACAGAAATTGGAGAATAAAATAAACAGAGGGACATGATTAGAGATCATTAAGAGACCCATAAAATAGGTATAAAACACAAAATGACGCAAGGAGAAAGTACTATTATTCTGAAATGTATTTAATACCTTTTAAAAAAAAACTTTTTGGTGATGACAGCTTTAATATACCTCTTGTATGATCAAGTGTGATTTTTCCCAAATTCTGAAGTCTAAAATTCTTGACAATTTTATAGGTCTCTTAATGATCTCTGATCATTTCTTGTTTTGCACTTAGTTTCAAAACAAATAAGTTATGTTTTCTTTGTATGTATGGATTATTTTGGTTGTTACTTACATCTGGTGCAAAAACTGCGGTAACATCAATTTTAGAACTTTTTATTGAGATTATTGGTGACATGTTTGATTGGAGAAATTGTTAAACAAATGCTTCAATTGGGAATAAACTATATTTTAATACTAAAATACAAAACAAATTACTAAATGCTTGGCTGGTCATCTTAAGAGTTGTGAAGTGTAAAAATCTAGATTCACTAGTTGACCTAGAATGACTTACTGACTAGTTTATCTGTATGGCCAGAAAACAGCACTACATTTAGTTGGAGGAAATGATCAACATAGGAAGAAGAGCGGAAGTCTTTGTAAATAAGCTATGTCCAAAGGTCATGAGTTCTCATTGCAGGTTATTAATGTTTGAGGAGAGTGACCAGATGATCATGGAAGCGTAAGCAACAGCTTCACATCTGAATGCACACACACCATGAAACGCTAAATCTGCAAAAGTGATGCTGATAGCGACTGTGCTGACGCATTATGCTGATCACTGATAATAGCGCTGGAAACTAAAATATATTCACGCAGTGTTTGCGCTTCCTGCTAATTCAATTGATAACCAAATAAATATTAATAATGCTCTCAATCACTGTTGCTGAAAGTTAAAGGACAGAATTTAAGCTGAGAGAGAAAGAGTGAAGGACCGGAATTTACAGACAGAAAGAACGAGCTCTAGTGAAGTGCTCCTGAAAAGGAGCACAGAAAACAGTAGAGAAAGAGAGAGGGAGATGGAGAGCAATAGAGAACTGGGATGCTTCGTGATTTTCCCTTTGTTGAGGGTCGTTAAGGACCTGAATGACAGCACCGTGTCACTCTCTCGCTCTCCCAGACAAATGCATCCGAGCCAACAAGCGACCTTTATGTTCCCCAACTAAAGTTACCATGGCAAAGGAACAATCCAACAGGGCAATAACAGAAAGAAAGAGACAGAAAGGGTGGGAGAGACAGAAGGAATGAGAGTCTCTCCATGCGGAAAAAGGGCGGGCCAGATCCTCTTGGCTGCTGCTGGAGTTCCTGGAAGCACGGCACCAGAGGGTGAAGCTCTGATCCGACACCGTAAAGAATTTTCTGGTTCCGTTTAATCGAACAAATCTGCTTCAAAATAATAACAACTAACGAAAACCAGTGGTTTAAAAAAAACCTTTGTTTATTATTGTTTACTCTCACATTAGTGTAACTGACTAGAAATGCTAATAAACTCAATGTAAATCAAGCCCAGCAACTCATAAAGAGCATGTACCTAAACCATGGCGACTCAATGGTGAAAAAGAATAAACCTTTCACAGTAAATCTGGTTACAGCCCTCTGGTACTGCACTAACTGTTCTTGCTGGTCATTTTACATTTACTTGCTAAATTAAATGGAGTAACAGTCACTGAAGATGAACAGCGATTGGGATTTTGAGATGCCGTAGTTCTCAGTCAATGCACGTTTTGAGACTGATTGCTCACTGTAGCAAATGTTTAGTCTTTTGGCTGGTCCTGCTAGTAAATGAGTGGTGTGAGGGCTTTTCAGCTCTGAACTGTTAATTGGTTGCTCTCCTGGAAGCAGAGAGCAATGTAATTGATATTCATGAGGTGAAACGTCACCAAAGGGTAAACTCCCACACAGCACAGCAGAGCCTCTCCAACCTCTTTGGCTGAACTGGGATTTATCACGGTCAGTGGTTCCACATGATGGGAACATATTATCTCTGTTCGAATACCTTCTGCAGTTTGAAGCTCAAAGCAAACTCAAAAGAAAAAAACATGACTGAATTAAGTTAATCAGACATTATCAAAGTTATTTGCTCATGATTTCTCACCAATTTTTCCTCATAATTTCTCATAATCTTTCTTTGCACATTACTTTAGGAATTGATAGTTTTGCCAACAGCACTCTTACAACTGTTTTTAATAAAGCAACTTAAATTGTTGTTAGCAGGTCCTGAAGAAACCTTTAAAAACCAACAAAGAGAACACTGATCATCTCGACATACTTTTTTTTTTTAAACATTTCCTTTTTCTATCTGATTCTGTGCAAGGCATTATGGAAAGTGAAAATAACAAAACTTGTTGACCAAGCAACTTGACTAAACTCAAACCTTGACATTAGCTATGTTTCCATCCAAAGATGCGAATAAAATATATGCACAAAACTGGAATATCACATAAGACGTGAATAAAGCAGCGTTTCCATCCAAGTAAAAAGTTAAGAGAAAAAATCATCACTTGTTGATTAACTGCCGCCAAATATCAAAAGTAAAAACTGAATTTGCTGTGGTAGGAGACGCTGCGTGAATCTTTTCTTTATTTAATAAATTACTTGCATTTGTCTTTACTCAAGACAAATGCAGGCATGCAATGAACGTGCGGTGGCGTTTGAAGGTGAGACGTGGAGCACAGACGCTCTTGACAATCTGGAGGTCATTAATAATATAATAACTCTAATACTGAAACCGTTAAGGCGTTTTAGAATGACCAAAACAACATTTCAGAAGTTTTACAGTGTGCTCAGGCTGCTGGTTTGTCCATTCACACACATTTTTATCACCACATGATCTCTTATAACAAAATCACATGACCTTTTTTGGCATACTGGAATTTGTTCAGTAAAAGTGTTTCCATCATAGTTTATGTGCATCTTTTCTTATCGAGTAAAAAGTTTATCCTACTCAGCTATGCGCATACATTTTTTTATGCACATCTTGGTGTTTCCATCAGCCGTTTTTTATGCGC